GTGGGATTCGACCCGCACTTCAGCTACATGAAGCTCACCAAGGCCGTGCGCTACCTGCAGCAGCCCAGCTGCCTGCTCGTGGGCACCAACATGGACAACCGGCTCCCACTGGAGAACGGCCGCTTCATCGCGGGTCCGTGCGCCCTGGGGGCGGAAGGCTGGAGGGCGGGCGGCCAGCCCCTCCCGTCCTCTGACCCCGGGCACTCTCCTCCCCTCCCTCTCCGCCTCGCAGGTACGGGCTGTCTGGTCCGAGCCGTGGAGATGGCCGCCCAGCGCCAAGCCGACATCATAGGGAAGCCCAGCCGCTTCATCTTCGACTGCGTGTCCCAGGAATATGGCATCAACCCGGAGCGCACCGTCATGGTGGGTGATCGCTTGGACACAGACATCCTCCTGGGCGTCACCTGTGGTCTGAAGACCATCCTGACCCTCACTGGGGTCTCCACTCTAGGGGATGTGAAGAGTAATCAGGAAAGCGACTGCATGTCTAAGAAGAAAATGGTCCCTGACTTCTATGTTGACAGCATAGCCGACCTTTTGCCTGCCCTTCAAGGTTAAAGATTTAGTGTCTTTAATCTCCAGAATAAAAAAAAATTTGAAAATCACTTACCCAAATTAATAGGTGGGACATAAGCATCACTCAGCTAGGTGGCTTCAAAGAGTATACTTGGAGTTAAGCAAAGGCACTAGTTGTTAACCTTGTAAGTGGGGGGCGATTTTGTTTACAAATGCTTATATTTTAAGATGCACTTTTAAGCTTGAAGGGCATTGTGGGGGTCCTGGGCCTTAGGTGCCACTTGGCCTTGACCTTGGGTTTAGCCTATGTCCAGGATTCTTATAACCTCAGGGCCTGCTGATGGGACTGAGGTGGGTCTAGGAGTATCATGTATTTTATTGAAAATTTCAGGAATTAAAGGGAAGGAGGGGCTGATTATTTTGACTCTTGTGAGAAACTTGTACAGCCCGACCCAGGGCCCCATCTGTGTGGTCATCAGCAGGGGAGCCTGCTGCCTGTCAGCTCACCTGCAGGGTGGGAGTGGGGGAGAGGGCTGCTCCCAGGTGGTGTCTCCCTGTCCATGCGGTATGGGGTGCTGCTCTTACCACCACCATACCACACTTCCTTAAAAACCACTCTGATGTCACAATTGAGTATCTGTTCCGTTTCAGATACCCAAGGCTGGCACTCCTCATACGGTTGTGCAGTTCTGTAAACTCAGTCCAGCTAAACCTTGGCTTTCTCAAATGTGCACAGACACACAGGGGATGTGGACTGAGCATATTGTTGGCTGAGCAGCCAAGAGGGCATGAATGCCTTCGTTGAACTCTGGGCTGCTGCAGGTAGCTCAGAGCAGTGTTGGTATAAGAAAAAAAAAATTTTTTTTAACTTCTGAACAACTTTGTCAAGTGGCGAGATTAAATCATAAGTGTGTTGATTAATAGCTGTGCTCTGCCTCATAGGGAAAATCCCACTGAAGAAGTCTCCATGCCCCGCAGCCAGCAGTACAGCTAAAGGCATGTGCTGGCCAAGGAAATGCCTGTTAACCAAGGCTCCCTCTGGGTGGAGGGAGGAAAGAAGTGTCCCTCAAAACAGGAAGTCCTTTTACAAAGCATCCAACCTCTCTTCCTGTCTTCCTATTCTCTTGGTTGGGGTGGGTATTACATGCCAGTAGTCTGTGAGGCCACATGTCTTGGCCCTAAAGTCCCTTGTCAGTGGCCAGCTGGAGGAATGGCAGGCTCCACCAGCTAGCCAAGGGTTCTTGGCACAGGTCTGTGGCCTTTTCTGCCTGTTCTGAGTTGCTGACCTTTGAGAATAGGCCTGACATGCAGATTCTCCGGCAGCACTTGTAGGGTAGGGCCTGGGAAGCTGTTCCTTTTGGCCGACTTCTTCCTGGCGCCTCACCCTGCACCCAGTGTTATCTGCCCACAGCCTGTGGCTTCTCTTCCAGCCCCACAGTCACAGTGTTCCTTCAGAGTTCTCAGAGCAATAAAGGATGTCCTGAGCCTTCAGCTCCTCCCAGGTGTCGGTATCTGGTGTCCTGACTCCACTGCCAGGCAGCACAGGGCAGCTGGCGCCTGTGAGGCTGGTGGTGCTGACGTTGGCTCTGCGAGGTCGGCTCAAGGTGGGTCTGGATATTGAGCAGGCCTGTCAGGGCGTTGTCACCCACACCAGGAGCACGCGGCAGGTGCAGCAGCCAGCGACACCTCTTCTGCTGGGCAGCAGCCTCGGGGGGCCCTGTGCACCCTTGTCTCCACCCCTGTTGCACTGTGTGAACCCAAAGGTGTATTAAACTCTCAGACGCGCGCTGACTCTGGTGTTCCTTTCTTTCACCTGGACAGCAGCCTCTGCACAAATGGTGCAGCTGTCTTGCCGCGGGCGGGGGTGGGGTTGGGAGGGTTACACTCAGTAGAAGGCCATTCTGGGATTCCAATTCCAGAGTTGGGGTGCTGACCACAGCAACTCCACCCCATCTCAGGCCCACTGCGGAGAGGCAGACTCTGAAGAATCAGGAAGAAGGCACAAAAGAAAACCAGAGTAGGAGAGGGTCACAGGGGGAAGCTGGTGGAGGACATGCAGGTCCTAAGAGCAGCCAGTTCCAGGGCGGGGACCAAATGTTGGAATCCACAGCATCAAGCAGCTGTAAATGCCTGGCACCGTTCAGTTACAAAAAGCCACACTCGGGAGGGCAGGGGCTGATGGACTGGAGGCTGACCTAACCATGCTGGGCTATGCAGGAGGTTCCAGTAGGCTGTCCTTACCAGTGGGGCCTCCTGGAAGCCATCCTGGTCTCTAGCGTGCACCTGTGCAATGCCTGTCAGCCCATCCCATGTTGGGAGCTGGGAAACAACCAGGATGCCCAGAGGGGAAAGGGATGCGGCACAGAGTCCCAGATGAGTCATTCACTAAACAGGCACTTGTGGATGGTTCACTATATGCCAGGCCCCGTGCCCAGTCCTGGAAATGCAATGGTCACCCAAGAGACTAGAAAAAGGCTTCTTGAAGAAAAAGTAAATCTCTCCTCAACAAGGCTTTCTAATGTCATCTTGGCCAGGCCTGCACTGCCCTCCATGCCAGCCATGGACTTGACTGCCACATGGCCATGCATTCATTGCCCTACCAGATCCCTGTGCACAGGCCAGGTGTTGGGAGAGCCAGGCACAGAGACAAGCAGCCCTCCCCAGGTGCCCTGTCTCTGACCTGAATATCAGGTAGCTGGGCTGGGGAGGAGGCAGTGGGGTTAGGAGGGGAGGGGGCCAGGACAATTGTTTGGCTCATCAAAGGCATCCTGAGGTTTCCCCAGGCTGACTCCAAGGGGCAGCAGACAATCAGCGCATTGTCACCAGGGCTGCAGCATGGAGCAGGGGAGCTGCCGTGCGGAGAGCCCCAGGCCTGGGCCTGTTGGGGTGAGTGCCTCCCACCATCCAGTGCCCTCTCCTAGGACAAAGACCCAGGACGTGCCCTGGTTAAGGGACAGGAGTACGGCATCCACCTCCCATACCTCCTCAGCCCCTACCTTCCCTGAGCCAGCCTGTTCCCTGGTCTCTGCCACAGGCTCCACTGACTACAGTGTGCCTCCAGGTAAAGACAAAGCCCTGCCATGGGGGCTGGAAAGCTCCAGGCCTGCTGCTGCTGCTGCTGCTGGCACTGGCCGCCGCCGGGGCTGTGGCTGGAGGGATTCTTGGGTTCGCTCACAGCCCTTCCAAGGTGAGCCCCTCCTCAGGACCCGGGCAGGGACACAGAGAGTGGGAAGGGGGAGGAAAGGCCAGCACATCCTAGCCCTACAGTGGGGCCAGGGCTGAAAGCAGACAGCAGGAGGACCAGAGGGGTGGAGGGGTCAGAGGCCTCGCAGCTGGGCTGAGGGGGTGTCGGGGGGCTGCCCCAGCCTGCCTAGTTGAGCTCCAGCTTCCCCCTCTCAGCCACCACTGCACATGCTCCGTCTGACCCTCCCAAGCCCCAGGGTGCCCCGGTCCAACCAAACTGAACAGGTGGATGTGGCCCAGAACGTGGCAACCATCAGGGTGACCCCAGCTCAGAGCAACCACAGCTGGGCGGTACTGTTCGACGGGCAGAGTGTGAGTGGGCTTGGCAGGGAGGGGTTGGGGGGGGTCACTGCCTGGGGATGTTCAGGTGGCCCTGCCTCACCTACCTGCCTCCCTAGGGTTACGTCTGTTACCGCCCCGCCGAGCACCCGGCCTGCTTCCTTCGCCTGATGGAACCCCAAGATCGCGAGACCCTGCAGCTGCTGGTGAATACCTCACGGGTAAGGAGCTTCCGCCCAGGGGCCAGACAAAGGGAACTGTGTACAACCAGGGTCTCCAGTTTCAGGGGAACAGAAGCTCTATCTTCACCTGGTTGAGGCTGCTGACAAGAGCTGGGCAGGGCCAGCACACTACCAGCACGTCCAGGGAAGCCTGGGCCCTACCCAGCCAGGGGTAGTGCAAGTGTCCTTCCCTGCAGCCCCCAAGGGACTCGCAGCCCCAGCCAGGACACCCACTATGCCCAGGAGCTGCTGGCGGTGCTCGGGAGCCGTAAGGTGGACCCCGCCCGGGTTGGGGCTTCCGTGCAGCACCTTTGCGGGAAGACTCCCATTTACTGGGCACGACGAGCAGAGGGTGAGTTGGGGCAGGCCGTGTGGAGAGGCCTGGGCTCCCACAGGACAGTCTGGGGTGAAGGGGAAGAGCCCTTTGGGGTTCATGGAGGCTCCTCCCCCCAGGTCCCCAGAGGCAGCGGCTGATCTACCTGTGCATTGACATCTGCTTCCCGAGCAACATCTGTGTGTCAGTCTGCTTTTATTACCTCCCGGACTAAGCCCCCAGCCTGGACCGGCCCCACAGGCCAGCCAGCTGGCCGGCCCTGTCACCAGTCTCGTGGAGGGCGACTGCTGGCGGAGCTAATAAACCACTCCACCTGGCCATGATGGTATATTCTGTGGCCTCAGGACACGGAACAGGAACAGGGAGGGAAAGGGGTAGGCGCTGGCCTGGGGGTGGGCGGACCCCTCTCAGTTGCTCCAGGCTCTGTGGGTCCAGAATTTCCAAAGGGAATGCAGGCTGGGTAGGGTAGGATCCTGAGCTCTGTCACATCCAGATTAAGCAACTGGGGCTGAGAGAGTCCCATAGTGGACTGGCATGGCCAGTCTAGTCTGGCCAAGGGAGCCAGGGTAGGTCAGTCAGCTGGGGATGGTAGAGGCCAGCCCATAGGGTTTCACTCTGACCTGGGCAGCTGAACACAGACAACCAGCTGGTGCCACCTGGACGGCTGCCTACAATCCCAAGGTGACACAGGCTAGCCCAGCACGCTGTCGTTGAAGGCCAAGCAGACGACAGCTTTCTGGTGGCCTCCATACTCTCTCTTGATCTCTCCCGTCTCCACGCACCAGAGTCGGGCCAGATTGTCGGAGGAAGCTGCAGGGAGGGAGAGTGGGGGCTCAGGGTGCAGCCCCAGGCCAGGCCAGCTCCCAAGCAGCCAAGCAGCAGTGTCTGAGCCAGCAGGGGTGGGGAGGCAGGGTGGGCGGGGCTTACCGGTGACTATATACTGGGAGTCCCCTGAGAAGGCACAGCCCCACATCCAGCCTCGGGACGACTCTCCAGGGTTGCTGCTCTTGATGCTCAGTTCCGTCATCAGGGAGAAGTTGGACGTCCTCCAAATCTTGCACGTCTGGTCAGCCGAGCAGGTGGCAAGGAGCCTGGGCGTGGGTGTGAGCATGACAGGGATGTCCTCAACAGCCACTCCCATCATGCACCCCCTTGACATCCACCACGCAGGCCCCAACACATCAGGCTCCTAGCCCTAGGCATGTCCCTTCCTCCCTGCAGTCATCCGAGGGCTCCCAGCCCCCCAGGCCCTGCACGCACGTGGAGTCTGGGCTGAAGCGGCACTGCAGGGCATAGCGAGTGTGCGCTGGGATCTTGGTCTTGGGGATGAGCTGTGTCACCTCGTCGCCAATGCCCCCGGTCAAATTCCAGACATAGCAGTTCCCCTGTGGGGTTGGAGGGAAATCACAGGAGGCCTGGAACCTCCAGTCTGACACTTGGGGAAGGACACCCCAGCGGTAAGACCCAGATCCAGGGGCTTCCCTCCAACGCTGTGGATCTAGGGGCAGAGGACCTATGATAGGCACATCTGGTCCCGCCTGCAGGGAGCAACTGGGAGACCTGGCCCCAACCACAGGCCATTCCTGGTGGGCTGAGAGCAGAAGGCCATGCCTGACCTTCCTGAAGGATACTGCTGGTCAACAGGATGTGAAGAACAAGATGGGTGGAGGGCACCAGATAAGAGGGAACAGCAGGAAAAGGGCTTGGAAGTGGCCAGTCTGGGGAGGTTGTGGGACAAGTGATCACTGAGATTTAATGGACACTAAAGGGAGGAAATGAGGCTGAACAGGAGTCCTGGGGTCAAACCACAGTGTCCAGAGGCCCTGGTAAGGAGCCTGGGGCATCTGGGAGTTAACGCAGGGGGAGGATACAATCCTCAGACTAGTACTACTGAACGATGTTCTGGTAGCAGAGGGAGAATGGATTAGGGGCAGGGGAAGGTCATAAAGGAGGGAAGGAAGCCAGAGAGGCTGCAACTGCTGTCGGGAGAGACAAAGGAAACTTGGATCAGGAGGAGACCGGGAGGAGAAAGGGAGACGGACAGACTTGTGAGATTCTGGAGATGGAAGTGACTGGACTGCTGGATGGGCTATGGCAGGTAGTAAGTGGTGGCATCAGGAGTGACACTCAAGTTTCTGGCTTTGGTGGCTGGGTCAGAGGTAGAGCCCAGGACAGGGAAGTAGGATTGTGGGGGGAGGGGAGGGGCCAGAGGGACTTCAGGGGAATAAGCCCACCTTCAGGAAACAAGACAGATAAGGAGCTGGGTGCTGAGCTGCCCCCACTACCCCTCCTTCCCCCATCTAGGACTCACTGTGCTATTGACCGCTGCCATGTAGCTGGCATCGGGGTCGATGTGGGCAGATGTGATAGAGACCTCAGGCTCCGGGATCAGCTGCTCGTTGTGGTCAGTTTTCAAGTCCCAGATGTGGATGGCACCGCTCTGGTCACCCACGATGAGTTCTGCCTGAGGTGCAGGGGAGGTGAGGAAGAGCAGGATCCTTGCCCTCCAGAGCTCCAGCATGCCCACCCCAGTGTGTACCCCTCACCTGGTTGGGGTGCAGACATACGCAGTTAATGGGTGCATTCACCTGGAAGATCCGCTGACACTGCAGGTTCCGGGACCTTCGAGGTGCAGGACATACTCCATGTGTAGTGGATGCTGTTGGTGCCCCCCCAGGTGCCCCTTCCCTGGCCATTTAGCCTTGTCCCTCTATGATGGGAGCTGTCTTATCTCATGGGAGGTTCAGCTCTCCCCAGGGGCAGCCTGAAGACAATGACTGACTCAGAAGGGGCATAAAGGGTGGCCCCTTGCCTTAAGGCAGGACTTGCTCTTTGATGTAGTTCATCTCAGAGCTCTCTGTGGGATCAGGCTGAGGCTATAGTCATTTTTTGTGTGTCTTCATCCCTGCCCAATCCTGCTTTCCTCTGCTACCCTCAATAAATCACCTGCACAGAAAACCCCGTCTCAGCCTCTGCTTGATGGGGACCTGACCTAACACAGTCTCTCGGCCTGGCCCTCACCTCACACACCTGGCAGCAGGCCCCTTCTGCCCAGCACCCCACACCTGAGGTCCCAGATCCGGGCTGTGCAGTCCTCCCCACCCGTGTACATCCAGCGGCCGTCCTCGTGGAAGCCCACAGATGCGATGTTCTTGTTGACCCCGTCGTAGCTGATGATAGGGTTGGGGTTGTTGGAGTTGAGATCATACATACGAATGTGCTGGTAACCTAGGGGCACAGGCCAAACTGGAGTTTGGGTGTGCCTAGATCAACCTATCAGAAATAAGGGGTTAGGGTCGAAGGTATAGGTACCTGCAGCAGCGATCATGCTGCGGTCTGGTGTGATTTCCAGCGCATTCACTTGCTGAGTCTGTTAAGGAGGATGAACAAAGCCCTGGGGCCAGGGACCCTTGAAGTCTCCACCATCTGGCTCAGCTGCTGCATCCTTCCCACCCCAGGCCTTTGCCCAAGCTGTTATCCCCACCAGACATCCTGCCCAGCACCACCATCCCCATCTCCCCAGCGGAGGATACAGAGTCCTGATGCTGCACCGTTCGGGTACAGATCCCGCTATGGGCCTGCCAGAACCGCACCGTGTGGTCATAGCCGGCAGTGGCCAAGATGACCGGGTCACTGCCCACCGTGCCTGGAGACGTGTTCATGGTGTAGGTGCTTGAAAGACTCGGGCCTACACAGAGCCCGAGGTCCGACCGGCAGGAGTCAAAGATTAGAGCATCTGAAGGAGAGAAAAGAGTATTTAGGGAATACCCTGTATGTCCTAAATAGACTACAACAGATTACTCGGTGCGGAAAAACATAATCATTCTCATTTCAGATATAGGGAAACTGAGGCTAAGAGACGGGACACGCGTGACAGCTCTGAGCATCTAAGTGCGCGCTCCGTTCCCCGCCCCACGAAGCCAGCCCGGAACGCCATCCTACTCGCGACCGGTAGGGGGCAGTCACGTCCAAGGCGCCGCTCTGCCGCAGGGGCGGGCCGTGCGTACGCAGGGCGGCAGACGGGCCGGAGAGGAAAGCCTGAACGCCGCGGTTGCGCATGCGTAACAGGCCGGTGGCGGGACCTGATGGGAGGGGGCGCTCTCTGGCTGGGCCTTCTAGCTCCCTGGTGCCCGGCCGATCGCCCTGACTCCGTCCCGCTGGACCAGCTTCCCCCGGGCGCGCTCTCCTGGCCACTGGAAGCTGCTTCCCAGCCCCCGTCCCACGCCCTCCGTACCTTACACGCGGCTCTGCGCTCCGCCGCGGCCCAGGACGGCAAGCGAAGCCGGAACGAGTCGATAGAGGCCGCGACCGAGCGTAGAGTTATCGATGGGCCATTAGGGCGACACCACGGGACGTATAAGAGGGGGGACGGGACGAGACTACAATTCTGGTAGTCTCCCAGGAAAAACCAGTACAGTCCTCTGGGCTACCTGTTGGCGCGAGATGGACGAAAGCAGCGACCACAGCCTTCTCCGCACTCGGGCACCCCGCCCTTCTGAGACAGCTACCCATTTTCCAGGCTTGCGTATCAAGGCAGGGTGGTGCCATCCCTTTCTTCCCATCTATCCCCTGATCCCCACTCCGCGCTAGGATCCCCAGGTAAATTAAAGGACACCCAGTTATATTTGAATTCAGATAAGCAACAAATATTTTTAAACATTTTTTATTGATTTATAATCATTTTACAATGTGTCAAATTCCAGTGTAAA